TGATCCGGTCAGATCACACACACACACACACACACATATATATATATATATATATATATATATATGATAATGTGAGAATGAATAAGAACCATTAGATTTAAAAAGAAAAGGTTGAGTCTCCATCTATCGTACCTCAAAAAATACAATCTTCGCGATACGCAAAAACTAGAGTTTGCATGATCACTGATGAACTTATGAGAGTCGCCACCGAACTTTATTTATTCCCAAGAAGGGAAATGGAAAATATCGAGAAAAATCAAGGGGAAAAAGGATAGGTTATGGTCATCGCAACCATGTTGGGTTCAGAAGTCGGTTATGTAAGGAGAAGGTGCTAGCATTCCTTACATCCATTGTACTCGATGGGAACCGTCTAAGTTGTCTAGGCATAAAAGGAGTTTGTTATCTATAAGCTTGCTAGGGGGAAGAAAGATAATTACTTGAGGGAAAATGAAAGTTTTTTTGTTATTGAGTTCGTCTGAGTTTTCAACCCAATGCCTACGTATCCCAGAGGGAATCAAAATTCTGTAGTTCGTGTTGAAAATATTTTTTTTGTTTGTAGTGTGTTTTTTATAGACGATACTAGGAAGCGCGTCCTTTTTGAAAAGTTTTAAATGGAAAATCCAAGAAGCGAAAAGTTTTAAGATGTGTGAAGTTTTTTTTAGGGTTTAGAAAACAGTTAGAGATATTGTTAAAGTATTTTTGGATTTTTTATTAGGAAAAAATTTAGTTTTAAACAGAAAGGAAAACGAACCTAATTCTAAAGCTTAAGGTTAAGATAAAAGGGAACTATCATAGAAGAAAGTCATATGAATTTATGACTTTGGGGTTCCTATAAAGCTTTAGGGCCTACCTTGTGAGATCCTTCTAAGGAGAGCAATCGAAGTGTCTTTCATCCGTGTCTCAGAATTCCGAAACTACTTATATGGAAACTCTAATCATCGTTTATTCATGCATTCATTCATCATATAAAAAAAAAGAGAAAAAACAAAGCTCTCAGTTTGTTATATTTATTGCATATTAAAGCATTTGACAAAGCAATCATGACAAGCCAGGATAACAGAAAGAATACATTCACTTTCAAGTTCTGATGCGTGTTATCTGTAAGTATACGGAGTATGTTAGAGTAATATAAAAGATTATCGATCCCACAGAGATCAATGTCAATCTATCGATTACTATTGTTACGGTGTTTATCTAAAGCTAATGAAAATAGAGAGTAATACAAACAGATAAAAAAAATAATTAAGGAATGAATTCAAATTCAGAATAAAGGCATACTAGAATTTAATTCTCATCGATCAAACAGTACTCATGTTGTCTAAGTAGTAATACTTGTGGGGAAATGTTTTCTTCCTTGAAAAAAAGTTAATAAAAAAGGAACTGTCGCATTAGTGTAATCGGAATCGAACCTGACATTTAATCTATACCAACCACTCACGCTGCACCGGTCGCATCTTGCGTTAAAGTGAAAAAGTCCTTTTTTACATAACTACCTCTAAGACTCGGTCAAAAATTGTTTTTGATTGGAAACTTTAATATCAAAGGGTTTTTGGCATATGTTCGACCAATCGGATCCTAAATCTATAAACGCGTCCACAAATAGTTTTAAAATCACTTTCTAATAATACCAAATCTTTCTAATTAATTAATAAAGCGCATTTGCTGTTTTTACCAATTAAAAACTAACCAACTCTTATCTAAAGTGTCGGACGACTTTCGATCTTACCCGACATAGTCACAGTTACTACGTAAATAGAAACACGATCCCATTCATGAAATGACCTATCAGTTTATGTTAAGAAAAATTGCATTAAAATCCAAAACAGCCTCTAAAGTGTTTCTACAAATACAACATATGGAGTATCTTCGAAACGACTGTCTTCACATCCTAGCACAACAGATTTAGCTAGACATGACAGTGATAAACATAACAAATAATTTGTTTGTAGAATAAATCATTTAGGGAAATAAAATGTGTGTGATTGGTTTTCAAATGAACGAAAGTGTCACTCTTAGGTTCAGTTTAGAAAACAAATCTTTGAAATAAAAGCGATATGTAAATCGTGCGGGAAAATAAATGCGTGATTGGTTCCCAAAAGTAAGAACGAAAGTGTCATGCTTAATTTCACTCTTAGAAAATAAATCTTTGAAATAACAGCGATATGTAAATCGTGCGGAAATTTAAACAAATTAAAGCGAGGCGGAAAGTAATGCAGATAATAATTAAATGCGAATAAAATAAAACCTGCTCCAAATCGGAGACTTGAATCTGGTACAATGCTGAAAAGTAAATCCGGCTTGAAAGTGAAATGACGACAAGCTTAAAATACCTGCTACGATGCTCCAATCTCAGTTACAACAATAGTGCGATAACCCCTTGATGTGACGGTTTATCGCTTATAACAACTGAATATATACCTATGCTGAGAACTAAGACTGGATGATTAAAACTAAAGATCTAGGTTCTATTTATAGTGTAACAATTTCTTAGAAATCACGTAGCCTTTTCAGAAATTGTGTGGAGGAAATATCTCTAGTCATGGTATCATGCTCCAACCGTCCTTGATCGGACCACATAATGCAAAGATGGCGCCCACCATCTAGACATGGCGTCCACTATGTGTATAAAAGGTGGTGGACATGATCAAGTGACGATTAGAGCGTGGGAGAAACCCTATACATCATGGCTGCTCCCATGGCCAACGCCATGTGGAACGATGTGTGTGTAATTTTCACCTAAAACTCTGTTTTTTTCTCTTTTCGATCCATTTCTTCGTGGAGCTCTTATTAGATAATGTACCTAAAAACAAGACAAAACACAAGCATAAAGAAAGAAAATAATAATTAAATGACAATGAACATATGCAATCTGAGCAAAATACGCAGCGTGTTTCAGTGTTATCAAGTTCAAGGAGCCAAAGATTAACATGTTGAAAGCTTTGAGCTCGAAGATTACTACCATCAAGCATAACAAGTTCCAGGCCAGCTTTGGAAGGATTCTAAATGTGCTAGATGAAGATTTCAACATTGAATGTCTCACAGCCCTAGCTCAATACTATGATACTTCTCTTCGCTGTTTCACATTCTCTGACTTTCAAATTGCGCCGACCTTGAAGGAATTTGAAGTGTTATTGAATTTACCCATCAAAGACTTCAATCCTTTTCTGAAGATGGAAGAAGATCTTACCATGTCTAAGGTAGCTGCTGCTTTGGGTGTTCTGATAATAATGTGGTAGCTAATTGGTCAGATAAAGGAGGATTTTCAAGAGCATTCCTAGAGGATGAAACATGGAAATGTGTCAAAGAAGAAAGATGGGTGTATGAGATTGTGAAGCTATTCTAGCATTACTGGTGTATGGGATTGTGCTATTCCCGAAGGCGGAAAAGTTTGTAGATCGTGTCAGCGGTAGAGATCTTCTTGACTGGTAATCCGATTCCTTTCTTGTTGGCTGAATTCTATCATACCTTCCACATTCCCTAGCAGAGTTGTCATCTATCGTACCTCAAAAAATACGATTTTCGCGATGCGCAAAACTATGGTTTACACGATCGCAAATGGACGTATGAGAGTCACCACCAAAATTTATTTATTCCCAAGAAGAGAATGAGAAAATATTGAGAAAACCAAGGGGAAAAAGGATAGGGTATGGTCATCGCAACCATGTTAGGTTCGGAAGTCGGTTATGTAAGGAGAAGGTGCTAGCACTCCCTACATCCGTCGTACTCGTTGGGAACCGTCTAAGTTGTTTAGACATGAAAGGTGTTTGTTATCTATAAGCTTGCTAGAGGAAAGAAGATAATTACTTGAGGGAAAATGTTTTTTGGTTTGTCGTGTGTTTTTTTATAGACGATGCTAGGAAGCATGTCCTTTTTAAAAAGTTTTAAACGGAAAAGTCAAGAGGCAAAAATGTGCAAAAAGGTTTAAGATGTGTGAAATGCTTTTTAGGGTTTAGAAAATAGTTAGAGATATTGTTAAAGTATTTTTGAATTTTTGATTAGGAAAAGGTTTTATTTTAAACAGAAAGGAAAACTAACCTAATTCTAAAGCATAAGGTTAAGATAAAATGGAACTATCCTAAAAATTATCCTGCAAAAAAGTTTATCTTAATGTTTACATCTAATTCAATTCAATCGAAGATCAAATAGAATTGAGATATCTTAAGGGATCATGGCAAACATACATACAGACAATAACACCAAGTTTCAAAACAGTCCCCAATCACATGTACCAATATCAAGGCGAAAATCAACAAGGAAATTCAAAAATTAGCCAAGAAAATGAGCTAGAGCTAAATCTCGGATTCAATTGACAATAAGAACAACGCTTATCAAAATGTACGTTAAGCTTTTACTCATGAATTAGTGTCAAGGTTTAATTGAAATAAAAAATCTAAATATAATTAAAACTTAAACAAAATAAATCAAGATTATCCATGCTTTTTAATCAAAATTAATATCTTAACATTAACCTAAAAAAACAATTATAAAAAAAATTTAAAATGAGCAAACAATCCTTAAAAAAAAGATAACTCGGGCCTAGCCATTAGAGCCCACCCGTACCCAACAGACTCATTAGAATGTTGTTGTTCTTCCCCTTCGCGACTCATTCTCTCCTCTTATGCTTACACAATTTTTGAACAGCAAAAACAAACACAACAGCGACATACATCACTAATTCATGATATAAACAATCGAGCACACCAAGATTACCTACGTCAGATGCAGAGGATCGACGGCGGTGGAGCGTAGAAGCTGAGTAAATCAAGTGTTGCGCGATTCCTTCTGCAGGTTCGTAATTACTCAGTATTGCTTTCTGAATCAATATTTTGTTACTCATTATTGATTGTGATTGACGATTTCTTGCGATTCTCATGGTAATTTGATTCAATGCTAATTTTAAGATGATGAATGATTTGTTTTTAGTTTGTTGACTCTTGATGACCATTGATTTTTGATGTATGTGTAGCTCCAACTAAAAATCGGGAAACTGTTAGTCTCGGATGGAAAAAGGCAATGGCTGCTGCTTCTATAGTGTATCTTCGGCCGTTATTCTTTCAAGTGTTGCTTTTGTTGTCATCTTGATCTTTGTTCGCGTCCTTTATGTCATATATTGTAGTGGAATGCCCTTGAGCAAAAGAGCATCCAAACCTGTTAGTACCCTTATTATTTTAGGATCAGGTTTGAGATTACCTTCCTTTTTTCATCCATATCAAAACATTTTATGGCAATTCTGTAAAGTTTAGTTTTATTCTACTGTAGGGGGTCATACTGCCGAGATGCTTAATCTATTGGCAGTGTTGCAAAAAGATAGGTTTAATCCGAGATTCTACATTGCTGCTGCTACTGATAATATGAGTCTTCAAAAAGCTATGTTGTTGGAGAACTCTCTGGCATCTGAGGTACTGTTCTGAATACTTGTCTCTACAAGTACCTTTTCTCTTATGAGTCATGATCTTTGCTGCTGTTATCATTATTATTGTTGTTGTTGTTGTTGTTGTTTATAGTTGGTTATGTCATTGGTGCACCTTTGTTGTAATATATGAATCAATTATTAATGATGTAAATTTGTGTATGTTCAACATTTTATAGTTACTGGATAAAATATGTTCAACATTTTATGTCTTACATTGCATTCCCCATGGAAATCTTTTTGTTTGGATAATATATTTATATAGGCTCAAGCCTTGTTTGGATGTGAGAAGAATTAAACTTGACAGATGATTGTATACATGGACACGACTATTAATGATTCACCAATTGATGCCTGAATAACTAAATTCAAGGGAATGCTCCCTGGTCCCATATAGGTTTCTTTTAGGAGAGTATCTAGAAATCTATCTATTTGTCGTGAGCAGTTTCTGCATGATACCGATAATTTATGTTTCTGTCATTCTGGTTTGCAAATCTTGGAACATGTGCAATTGAAAATCTTGGAATTTTTCCAATTGCAGACTTGGAGATTAGAGATTAAGTATTTGTTTCAATGAAACTTTACCTACTCTATTTTCTATTTTTCTTCTTCTATAAACATAGGTGCAAAATATGAAAATTTTGTGAATAATTTAATAGGTTCTGAATTTTTCGTCTGCTTGTCAACACTGGCTTACAAATTCTGATCAGGAATAGATTTTAATGCAGAGTGGAATAGACGTTGCTAATACTGCGCAGTTCATGAAGATTTATCGAAGTAGGGAAGTTGGTCAATCATATATAACCTCAGTTTGGACTACTTTAATTGCAATAGTCCACGCATTATGGCTTATGATTAAAATTAGGCCTGAAGTGGTAACATATCTATCCTTATTTGTTTACATCAATAACCGGTGTTAATTTGTTAGAATTTGAACGATATTGTATTGCTACTATCCAGATACTTTGCAATGGACCTGGAACTTGCATTCCCCTTTGTGTTATTGCCTTTATATTTAAGGTTCACTTTCCCTTCATTCCTCTGTTATCTTTTGCATAATTTCATTTATATACAATTGCTAATTTGTGATGTTAAGTATGTTTAACTTTTGCGTAGGTACTTGGAATCAGATGGTCGTCAATTTTTTACGTTGAGAGTATCGCAAGAGTGAAAAGGCTCTCCTTGAGTGGCTTGCTCCTATACAAGTTGTGGATGGCAGATCAAATTTTTGTTCAATGGCCACAGTTGCAACGACAATATCCCCGAGCTACTTATGTTGGTAGACTCATGTAATCAATCGAACAAATTTGTATTCTGCAATCAACAAATTTCAAATTTTTCTTATAATATTTCTATAATGTAAGATATTCAGAGCTTTAATTGTTTGGATAAGTTCATGTAAGTGAACTCTTTTTAGTCGTTATTTATTTTCAATTTTATTCTTCTGCTTTGTGTTACTTGTAAATATCTCATCAACTTTTATCATTTACAAGATACTATCAACTATCTACCTAAGCTCAAAACATGCCTATGCACTACCAACTATACCCTTCATTAAAAACTTAAATTACACTAAAGAAAGCCCTTTATAGTAATTGACTAATACTAAATTTTTGCCCCAATGAAAAGCACTCAAATGGTCATGTGGCAAGATTCTGAGAGCTTTTTCTTTTACATTTTTCAAATATTTGGCTCATCCCTTTTACCCGTTATGGATTTCCAATACCATCATTGAAGAGAAATGTGAATTCACGCCTAATGTTTTGGGCATCATAGATACTATCATTTTGTCAATCAGGTACATGCTCATTGCAAAAAACTTCTTGGCTTGACACACTATGAGGATGATGCTTACTTTCTCTGTTTATATAATTGATATCCACCATGAGTGAATTGCATTTTTGAATTATTTTCAATTTTTTAATATTTTATTTATATGTTTGTAAACATGAATTTTGTTTTATGCTTCATTGACAGCTAGCCACTGGGGGTGGTGGTGATGACGACGATGGTGACGATGACGACTACTTTGATGACTTTGATGATATGGTGATGAGGGAGATGAGGGTGGATTGTTTAGGAGACACATAATTCTTCAAGAGGTTAGACATATCATTTATGTTAATTAAGAGTAAGTTTGTTTCTCATTTTGAAGTATATGCTATATTATCTTTTGTTGTTTTCATTTGACATTTCCTGAAGAAATGACAACCATTTTATCCTTCTGACAGCTATTTGACCGTAAATTTGTGGATGTTGTGTTGAGTGAATGGCAAAGAACTATTATGGATTTGCCCGCCGGATTTCGACAAGCTTATGAATGGTACAGTACTTTTCTGGTCATGCGTGTTTTAGTGGTGAAGCATGTAGCCACATATTGACTAAAATTCTGCTTTTAGGGCTTGGTTAGCTCAGCCCAAATGGTGAAGTACTTAGCAATGAGTGCCAGGCCAACTGCCAGTAGGCTTATATCTAGAAAACTACCGCAAGGACTGTCAAGGGCTTTCATTGGCAGGTAGTCTCAATTATGTCTTGGTTTACTTCAAATTTTTTATCAAAATAAAAGGGAAGTTGGCTATCTAATATCTCAAAAATTAAGCTCATGTCATTGCTTCTATATCGTGAATTTCTGTTCTTTTACTTAAACACTTTTCTTTATAGATGCTACAAATGAGAGGACCATTGTCCTCAGGAAAATCTTAATGATAGAAATCAGTATTCTGATATATGTTTTCTCCTGTATGTATAAAAGGAATATACATTTTGCTTACATGAATAAGTAAATATGATTTGTGAGACATCCTGAGAACATGAAATAGATGTCCTAAGTCTTGACTCTTGATAATTTAGTCTATCGTCAAATCTTAAATATTATGGAAATTGATAAACTTCCTTTCTGGAGTGTATTGATTACACTATTGTCATATATAAATATCTCTTTGTACAGGTTGCTTGCAGATCCTGCTTTCATGTATAGGTTTCTATTAGAGGAAGTTTCTACTATAGCCCGCTCCGTGTGGTGGGAGATTAAAAATCGGAAAGACAGGTGTGTTGTATATTTTCAAAAGATATGTATGCTTGTTTGGTATTGATAAATTGAATAATTCTGATTTTTTTATTCTAGGATAAAGCAAGAGTGGGATCTTGCACTTATCAATGTGCTCTCCGTAGCAGCATGCAATGCCGTAGTTGTTTGGTCCCTTGCTCCTTGCCGTTCATATGGAAACACATTTCAATTTGATTTACAAAATACATTGCATAGATTTATGTTAATTATTTTATTTTGAAAGTGTGGGAATTGAAATAGTAAAGTTTAATAGAAGGAGCCTAGCAATTAGTACATACTTTCAAGATTCAAGTTACTATATTTATTTGTGTCGAGATTATTGCTATGGTAAACTTTATTTCTCTGAAACAATGTCTTGGAGAATTGTTTATTGCAATGTGTTTTTGTAGTAAATTGCAGCTTTTTGTAGTAAATTTTAGTGCAGTGTATGTAAAATATTTTCCCCTCTTCTATTATGTTATGGATTTTTAGTGCAGCTTATGTAAAATAGCAATGTACATTTAAATTGTTGATCAGGAAACATATTCAGCGGATTCTTCCTCAAACAAAATTTAGAAACAAGATTTGCATCTGATGATTGCAATGTAGTGAATGCTGGACCTTTTCACTCTAGGCCATCCTGGGATTACGGGCTTCAATATGAAAATAATATTACCAAAATGATGGACAATAGTGTACCATCAACCAAGCCATTTGATTGTGAGTCTAGATCTTCTCGTGATAAGGATCAAGTTAGAAATTATATTTAGATCTTCTCGTGATGAGGATCAAGTTAGAAATTATATTTAGATGTTTTTTTTAAATTATTTGAATCAGCTGTGTTGTGTGTACATTTTGTGCTTTTATTTTGTTCACGTTGCAATTAACACATTTCTTGAAATTAATATTTTTTTTTTTTAATTTCATTTGAGTTTTTACTCTTTACTAAAAATTTCAATTAAACCCTGAACTAATATAATTTTAATAATTAAAGCCTTCACTTATGGAAAGAACTAATTATAAATAAACTTTTATTTAGATATTTAATTATGATTTTTAAAATTAAGGTAATTGTTTAAAAAATAGAGAGATACATTAAAGAGAACCCAAAAAAATAAAGATAGAGAGAAATCAAGAAAGATAACAATTATGTGAATTTTTTTTTAAATAACCTATATTTTTTTTAAAAATACGTTATTAACTTGTATTTCAAATTTTTTATCAAAATGACTTATATTCAACATGCATACACCATATAATATGGTTGAAACAATAGAAAATAATTTCATTCGTCTTATCATATGGCGCCACCATTGTAGCTTTGTTTTAAAAAAATAATATTTTCAGGGGAGGCGCCATATGGTATGGCGGCTCAGTTGTTTCCCTTTTTTTTTATATTAATTGTTATTTTGTATTAGAAAATTAGGAAAAAAATTAAAAAAATTAAAAGAAAAATTAAATTAAAATATTTGTAATATAAAAAAGCGTACAACAGATGAAAAAAAACAATTATCGGCCTTATCAAAACGTCTACCGGTTCCACATGGTGGTGGGTTTGCGCGGCGTCAAGGTCTATTACGATTTTGTTGAGGTGTTTGTGGCCTTTACGTGTTGACATGTGAAAAAGGTATTTGTTGAGATGGTCTCAGCATATCAGATGATTTTGAAGTATCTGTCCCCAATAGTCGGGAGGACTACTGCCAACGACGCTTCCGTAATTCAGTTCCATGCCCATGTTTTCGTAGTTGGGGCGGGGTGGTTGGGTTGGGTGTGGATGGTATGGTTGGCCGAATTGGTACATCGAATCGTTTTGGAAACTATGCAATGGTTGTTGTGGGGTTTGGTAGTCAAAAGGTGGGTAGGTATTTTGATGGTGGGACGATTGTGTGTTTACTCGTGGGGGATATAGTGGGCTGGGGTGGGGTCGAAAGAGTTATCAGGGCTAGTGGGATGGGGTAGAGTCGAAAGAGTTTTCAGAGCTATAGGAAGAAGTGGTGTCGGTGTCGGGAGGCTGGTGGTAGGGGTGAGGCTCTTGTTGTTGTGATTGAGTTGATGGCATGAATGAGTTGCAGTTTTGGAAGATTGATTGGGTGGGTATACTTGGTTTGTTGGGTATAACATGATGTTTGATGTTGGGCATTTGTTTGTTGTTGCGTGTTTGAGGAAGAAGCATGTTGTTGCGGGTCAATCAAATATGTCGGCTCAGACACAAATTGTTGTGTTTTTGTAACCGACCTAAACTAAATCATATATTGATAACTTGGTCTAGCCCCTTCCACAACAGGGTCGGTTAAGATGTGACATGTCGATTCTTCCAATGTAGACACATCTCTTTTGCAAAGTCTTTTCAATGATTTACACTCCATTGTGTATCCACCCTAAGTTGATGCCAGTCTCCCAAAGACATCGAAGCCACTAGAATATCCTGATGCATGCCGAACTGCAGTTTTACCTGATCACTTTGGTGCATCTCCACTGTAGTGAACTGAATTATAGGTGTTTTAGTTGTCCACACTGCAACATCATTGGCGTTGGGCTGATGGTCGAGACCCTCGTACGACATCCATACAAATTACATGAACAATAGATTTAATGAGAAAAACAAGAATGTACTAATTAAATAGACAAATTAATGGTACATCACTGGTAGATAAATTACATTGTTCGACCCAATATGTACTAAAAGGTTGCGGTAGACGATTATTGAGTTCCTGGGACATCGTTGGTAATTCGTTCTCGGAACAGACCACCTAAAAAAAAGTGACACAAATAAATTAGTTACAGAAAAACATTTCACCAAAGTATACATGTTTTGATTTTTAAAAATAGACTTACTTGTTTGCGTAGGGGAATGTAATGGATTCTGGTTGATAGGAACCAATGTTGGCATTCTAGACCAACCCCGCGCTTGAAGGAGATAGGCGCAACCATAAAAAGTACAAGTTTTTTTTTGAATTTTTACACAGTGAATATATAGATGGGTGAGGATAGCTGTACCCTAACTATATGTGCACACTTTATTAATGTTGTGCAACAATGGTAAATACATAATATTTACACTATTTTTAGTACTTTTTGGAAATAAAAAATGTTCGAATAATATCATAATATAACACCGAGTTTTAAGTATATTCTCATACTCGGTGGATTCCTCGTTTAACACGATACTATTGTAATGTTCTCTTAGGTATTTTAAATTAATACATTGACCCCTAAGTCGACCTTCACGTTGTGGCTGAGGTGTTTC